TGCTCTTGGCATTTTAATTATGATGTGTCTTGGTGTGGCCCTCTTTGGATTCCTTTTGTTTGGGATTCTGTGCACTTCCCGGACTTGTAAGTCTATTTCTTTCACCAGGTGGGGGAAGTTTTCAGTCATTATTTCTTCAAATAGATTTTCAGTATCTTGCTCTCTCTCTTCTTCTGGCACCCCCATAATTCGGATGTTGGTACTCTTGAAGTTGTCCCAGAGGCTCCTTACATTATCTTCATATTTTTGGATTCTTTTTTTTTAATTTAAAAATATATTTTATTGATTTTTTACAGAGAGGAAAGGAGAGGGATAGAGAGTTAGAAACATCGATGAGAGAGAATCATCAATCAGCTGCCTCTTGCACACCCCCTACCAGGAATGTGCCCACAACCCAGGTACATGCCCTCAACGGGAATCGAACCCGGGACCTTTCAGTCCGCAGGCCGACACTCTATCCACTGAGCCAAACAGGTTCCAGCTTTGGATTATTTTTTCTTCTCCAGTTGGGTGTTTTTTGCTTCTTCATATTTCAAATTTTTTACTTGGTTCTTGCAATCCTCTAGTCTACTGTTGGATTTCTGTATATTATTCTTTATTTCAGTCAGTGTATACTTAATTTCTAGTTGGTCCTTTTTCATATCCTCGAGGATCTCACCAAATGTATCTGCAGTTTCTAGAAGATTCTTGAAAAACCTTATAACCATGGTTTTGAACTCTATATCAGTAGTTTGCTTTCCTCCATTTCTGTCATTTGTGACCTGTTTGTTTTTTTCCCCTCCACATTTTGATTGCTTCTCTGAGTTGATAGAGTGGCTTGTGTGCTATAGGGCGCAGTGGCTCAGCCTCCCCAATTACATGAGGTGGACACTCAGTGCACCTCTTTGTGGGCTGTGTGCACAGTCTTGTTGTAGTTAAGCCTTGATTGTTGTTGGTATCACTGGGAGGAATTGACCTCCAGGCCAATTGGCAGTGAGGATCAGCTGTGTCTACGATGGGAGAACTTCTGTGCTAGAGACACCCTTATGGGGCAAGACTGGCTTCAGTGGGGCTTTGGTGCTCACTGAGCCTGTCCCCTGAGTGTGTCCCTATGGATCTGAGGAGTTGTAATCTGGATGGTCCCACTCTGACCCCTGGGTACACTAGCTCTTGGGTCTTCAAGAAGGTGCAAATTTAGCCTCTGCTTGAGGCCACCCAATAGGAGCTACAGATAGATCTGAGGTTTCTCTTCTGTTTGGGGTTTGGAAGTGCCCAGATGAGACCCAGTTTTGAAGCAATGCAAGCTGCTGTGGAGCCTTGAGCCTTCTTTTGGAACTTCTGGCACTCTCTGACCCAGATGCAGTTTGTTAGGTAATTTTAGATTCCAAAGTGCCAGGCCATTTATATGCAAAAGCTTCTGCACACAGATTGGGTGGGGCAAGGTCTCAGGGAATCAACAGGGTGGAGCAAACAGCTATGGCTGATCCTCAGTCCTTCCCTAAGAGGCCCGCAAGGTCTCAGTGTCCTTTGGTAATCACTGCAAGCACCTCTAAGAGAAAGCCACCCTCGAGTTCTGCCAGAAGCCTGATAGTCAAGTTTCTTCCTGTATGAGTCTTGGTCCACAGAGTCTCACCCGGAACTGGAGTTCAGAGCAGTCAGGAGCTTTTGTCTCCCTCTCAATTGAAAAAGGCAATCACGTCCTCAGTTGCCAGCCCTTTCCACACGTGCTGCTCTGTACCTCCGCACTTTACTTCTGTACCTCCTCTGAGTCTCAGTATGCTTTTCTCTTTCCTTCTAGTTGTGGAATTTCCACTCAGCCAGCCTTCCTATGGTTCTGGATGATGTTTGTTTTGTCTTTTAGTTGTAGTTTTGAAGTGGTTGTGTGAGGCAGCAATTTCAGGTGTTAATCTATGCTGACATCTTGGTTTCTCCTCTGATTTTTCTTATTTTTTGAGGTAGACCTGTAGTGCTATGAACTTCCCTCTCAGGATTGTGTTTACTGTGTCCCAGAGATTTCTGGTGTTCTGTGTTCATTTTCATTTGTTTCCAGTAAGTTTTTTTTATTTCTTTCTTAATCTTATTGGTAACCCATTCATTGTTTAATAACATGCTATTTAGCCTCCATGTATTTGAGTGTTTTGGGTTGCTTTTACTGTAGTTAACTTTTAATTTCTTTCCACTGTGATCTGAGAAGATGCTTGATATGATTTCAATCTTCTTGAACTTGTAGAGACTTGTTTTGTATTATAACATGTGATCTATTTTTGTGACTGACACATATGCACTTGAGAAGAATGTATATTTTGCAGCTTTGGGAGTGAATTGTTCTATAAATGTCAATTAAAACCATGTGACTCCTTAAACTATTCTCTGATTGGGTGACTTTTTCAACCCTGTCTTCTGATTTGATCCTTAGACTCCCCTAATCTGCTGTGTATTCCTTCCAATGTTCTCTTTATTTGTGCTACGTCATTCTTTGTGTTCTCATTGTTACTATATCTTTTCTCATGCTTTTGAGTATCTTTACCATCATTATTCTGAACTCTATATCAAATAAATTTCTTATCCCCATTCTCTTGTCTCTTCTTTCAGAGAATTCTCTTGTTCTTTAATTTTGGGTTGTTTCTTTGTGTCTCATTTTGGCTGCCTGTTTTGGTGTTTTATTCTGTATTAGGTAGATCTCTACACCTTTCAAGCTGTAGTGCAAGTCAGGGTCAAACACTCTTTCTGACTAATTAGATCAGGCAAAGACTCAAACTCTCCAGAAACTGCCTGTCTACAGACTGATAGAATTCCATTTTGAATTGCCCTCAGACAAATGTACACAGGTGTGGCAAGAGTTTTTTCCAACAAGGTGGGGCAGTTGCTTCTGCCTGGATGTTCATTGTTGTTCTCAGTCTTTTAATGGCCATCTAGAAACTGTACCATGAGGCAAGGTGTTTTCCAATAGGGTGGGTCAACTGTCTTTCCCACAGATAAGACCACCTGTATAGCAAATGTCTGCATGAAAAAGATGACCTCTGCAGCAGGAGGGAATGACTCAGCACAGGAAACCAGGGTGTCTGCCTTCTAGGCTCTAACCTCAGAGCCCCCAATCCTGGCTTTGGCTTCTGCTCACACAGCTCCAGCTGGACACAATGTGATGGCTCCACAGGGAATTTTGTGCATTAGTCCTTTAAGAGTGTGCCTGAATTTCCAGCTGTCTCTTCCTGGCAGACAGCATCCCTGGTGCTTTTTCCAGCCAAATGTTATAAGGGTACCCTTGGGATTAGACTCTAGAGCTCTCAGTGGCACCCCCACAGCTGAGATATCTCTCTGGAACTTCAGTTGCTGTCTGTGGGAGCCCAGCCAGCCCTTTCTTGCCTCTGCCCCTCCTCCTAGTCTCTATGAGATCTCCACTTTCCATCCTCAGATACCAGGGTTCTCTCCAGCGAGTCTCCAATTAATTATTCAGGAAGTTTTTCTGTAATTCCAATTTGGTCCTGAGAGCATGCCATGCAGCATCCACTTACTCTGCCACCATTTTTTATCCTCTGGTTAAGTTTTTTTTTTTTTTTTTTTTTTTTTTTTTTTTTTTTTGTGTGTGTGTGTGTGTGTGTGTGTGATATATTTTATGGTTAAATATTGTGTTGTTAGCTTTTAAGAAATCTTTGCTTACTCCAAGGTCATAAAGATTTTCTCCTATATTTCCTTCTGTAAAATACTGTTCTGAAAGTTATTGCTTTACCTTTAACTATTAGGTCCATTAGATTCATTTCAAATTAACTTTTATATGTGGGCAAAAGGTAGAGATAGGTGTGTTTTTCATATGGAATTTCAGTTGGCCAACCACAATTTATCAAAAAGACCATTTATCCCCTCTTAATTTTAGTAACACATTTGCCATTAATCAGGTGACCATATATGGTATGGGTCTGTTTCTGGACCCTATTCTGTTCTGTCTATCCTTGCATCTTTGTAAGAGATTTTGATACTTGATAATATAAATCCTGAGGGAAAGGGCTTTTTAAAAAAGCAGGATATAGCCGAAACTGGTTTTGCTCAGTGGATAGAGCATCAGCCTGTGGACTGAGGGGTCCCGGGTTTGATTCCAGACAAGGGCATGTACCTTAGTTGCGGGCACATTCCCAGTGGGGGTGTGCAGGAGGCAGCTGGTCCAAGTTTCTCTCTCATCAATGTTTCTAATTCTCTATCCCTCTCCCTTCCTCTCTATAAGAAATCAATAAAATATATATTTTAAAAAACAGGATATATTTGAATTCATGTAAAATCCAATGGAAGGATCTAGTTGAGAGTGAGAAGTTGAATAAAAAAGAGAGAGTATAATCCACACCTGAAATTTCTTGAAAAGATAAGAGGACCTGGGATCCAGGTGCTAGTGGAAGGATTGGCCTTAGATGCTCATCTACTAATCCATTCAACATAAATGGTTTGGACAGCTCCTGTGTGCCAGACACAGGCATATGGCCATGCATACAGCGTGCATGCAGCGTGCATACAGCCCTGCAGTTCTCACGGAGCTCCCACACTGGAGCTCAACAGATGGTCCAGGCAGCAGTGAACACCACAAAGAGTACAAGTGGATATTGTGGGGGACAGTAATGGAAGGCTGCTCCAACTGGGCAGCAAGGAAGGCCTCTGGGTGTCAATGACACAGGAGTTATGATCTGAACAAGCAAGAGCTCATCTTTAAGAGCTGAGCGAAGAGCATCTGACAGAAAACAGACAGGGCCAAGTCCCTCAGGCTAATGCAGGCTTGTGGTGTCTGTGGAACAAACAGAGGATAGTGTGGGTGTAGCAGTGAAAAGCGATGGGAAGCAGGGTAACCAAATGACATCAGAAAGCGAGTTAGAGACCAAACCAATCTGCAAGGAGGGCATTCCTTAGGGCTGGTTAGAGGCGGATTGTTAGTACGTGTGAGTTGGGTGGAGGAGTGGTGGGTGGAGGGACTGGGCTGATGTGTGTGTTGGCGGGCACCTTGTCTGTGAAACTGCTCTCACACTTGCCCTCTCTCCCTGCAGCCTCCTGAATGATGCCGGCCCCAAGTTCCCTCGCCTCCAGCCTGGCCCTCCTGCTGCTGTGGGGCGCAGTCCGAGCAGGCCCTTTCTCTCCCCCCTCCAACATGACCCTCCCAGCCCCACGGCCCCCTCCTCGGCCAGGGGGCCGCACAGCGGAGCCAAGAGCGGGGAACCCCTCTTCTCAGCTTTATGAGCACACCGTAGAAGGAGGGGAAAAGCAGGTGGTGTTCACCCACCGCATTAACCTGCCCCCTTCAGCTGCCTGTGGCTGTCCCCCGGGCTCTGAGCCCCCAGTCCCTGCTTCAGAGGTGCAGGCCTTGAGGGTCCGGCTAGAGATCCTGGAGGAGTTGGTGAAGGGCCTCAAGGAGCAGTGCACTGGGGGGTGCTGCCCTGCTGCTGCTCAGGCTGGCACAGGTGAGCGGGCGACCGCAGGGGGAGAAGGGAGTGGGTATCGCCAGCCCATGAAAGGCCTGGGTGTGAATTAGAAAAAGGCACCTCTTCCTCGCCACGTGGGGTGGGGAGTGCGGCCCAGCGCACAGCTTGGAGAGGGGGGCCACCGGGCTATCTGTCAGCTCCCACCCCACATATTGAGGAGGAGCAGCTGGAAGCTATGGCCCTGCTGGAGGGGAAGGCTGGGGGCGCGGACGGGGGCACGGTAGGGCTGAGCCTCTTGCCCAGAGAGACTGAGGCCTTCCTCTCGCTCTTACTCCAGGCCAGACGGACGTTCGAAGCCTCTGCAGCCGCCACGGCGTGTTTGACTTGACCCGCTGCGCCTGCTCCTGCGAGCCTGGCTGGGGTGGGCCCACCTGCTCCGACCCTACGGATTCCCAAGTGTCCCCTCCCTCCCCTTCCGGGTCCTGCCCGGATGACTGCAACGACCAGGGGCGCTGTGTCCGCGGGCGCTGCGTGTGCTTCTCCGGCTACACGGGCCCCAGCTGTGGCTGGCCCTCCTGCCCCGGGGACTGCCAGGGCCACGGGCGCTGCGTGCGGGGCGTGTGCGTGTGCCGGCCGGGCTTCTCCGGCGCCGACTGCAGCCAGCGCTCCTGCCCGCGAGGCTGCAGCCAGAGGGGGCGCTGCGAAAACGGGCGCTGCGTGTGCCACCCCGGCTACACGGGCGAGGACTGCGCGGCCCGGAGCTGCCCCCGGGGCTGCAGCCAGAGGGGGCGCTGCGAGGACGGCCGCTGCGTCTGTGACCCCGGCTACACCGGCGAGGACTGCGGCTCGCGGACCTGCCCCCGGGACTGCGGCGACGGCGGGCGCTGCGTGGACGGCCGCTGCGTGTGCTGGCCCGGCTACGCGGGCGAGGACTGCGGCGCGCGGACGTGCCCGCGCGACTGCCGGGGCCGCGGGCGCTGCGAGGACGGCGAGTGCATCTGCGACGCGGGCTACAGCGGCGACGACTGCGGCGTGCGCAGCTGCCCGGGCGACTGCAGCCAGCGGGGCCGCTGCGAGGACGGCCGCTGCGTGTGCTGGCCCGGCTACACCGGCCCCGACTGCGGCGCGCGCGCCTGCCCGCGGGACTGCCGGGGCCGCGGCCGCTGCGAGGACGGCGTGTGCGTGTGCAGCGCGGGCTTCAGCGGCGAGGACTGCGGCGCGCGGAGCTGCCCGGGGAACTGCGGCGGCCGGGGCCGCTGCGAGAGCGGCCGCTGCGTGTGCTGGCCCGGCTACACCGGCCGCGACTGCGGCGCGCGCGCCTGCCCCGGCGACTGCCGCGGGCGAGGGCGCTGCGCGGACGGCCGCTGCGTGTGCGACCCGGGCTTCACGGGCGAGGACTGCGGGAGCCGCCGGTGCCCCGGGGACTGCCGGGGCCGCGGCCGCTGCGAGGACGGCGTGTGCTTGTGCGACGCGGGCTTCGAGGGCGAGGACTGCGGCGCGCGGAGCTGCCCCGGCGGGTGCCGAGGCCGCGGGCAGTGCCTAGACGGGCGCTGCGTGTGCGACGACGGCTTCGCGGGCGAGGACTGCGGCGCGCGGAGGTGCCCGCAGGACTGCAGCCAGCGCGGCGTGTGCCGGGACGGCGTGTGCGCCTGCCGGGAGGGCTTCGCGGGCGAGGACTGCGGCCTCCGGACCTGCCCCTTCGACTGCCACGGGCGGGGCCGCTGCGAGGACGGGCGCTGCGTGTGCGACTCCGGCTACACCGGCCCCTCCTGCGCCACCCGCCTCTGCCCGGACGACTGCCGGGGCCGCGGGCGCTGCGTGCAGGGCGCGTGCGTGTGCCACGCGGGCTACAGCGGCGCGGACTGCGGGCGGGAGGAGCCCCCGGCCGGGGCCTGCCCCGGGGGCTGCGGGCCCCGGGAGCTGTGCCGCGCCGGCCAGTGTGTGTGCGTGGAGGGCTTCCGAGGCCCCGACTGCGCCATCCAGACGTGCCCCGGGGACTGCCGGGGCCGTGGCGAGTGTCGTGAGGGCAGCTGCGTCTGCCAGGAGGGCTTTGCAGGGGAGGACTGCGGGGAAGGTGAGCGGCCTCTCCCGTCTGCTCCTCGGGGACGGGGACCTGGGCCCGCGGGAAGGCGGACCCGGGCCTAGGAGCCCCGGGGGCTGGGGGAGGAGTGGAGGAAGGTCCTGTGTGCGGGAGCCAGGGTGCATGCCGGCAGCAGGACCTGCGTCCAGATACCTGAGGAGCAGGCCGGGCCTCCTGGGCTGCTTTTACTAGAGGGCGATGCTGTGCCAGGGCCTGCTCTGACCCCGGGGAGTGTGAACTAGGGCTGATCTCTAGTGCAGCCCTGAGCAGGTGGCCGGTGACAGGGGCTAACCAGCTTCTACGTCCCATTCTCCTGGGCAGAGGTGCCAGCCATTGAGGGCATGAGGATGCATCTCCTGGAGGAGACGACGGTGCGGACCGAGTGGACGCGGGCTCCGGGCCCCGTGGATGCCTATGAGATTCAGTTCATCCCCACGGTGAGCAGGCCAGGAGGGCTGAGGGAGGCCCGGGGAGGGGCTCAGCGGGCGGGGCCTTCCAGGTCATCAGTGGCTGAGAGCAGACGGCTGGGCCCCTGAAGCTGCTGTGAAGTCTGGCCCTGCCCCCCAGGGGGCGCGGAGGCCTCCCAGCCCCTCCGCCAGCGCTGACCCGCTGCTGGGACCCCTCCGGCAACCGGACTCAGTTCTCTGAGGCTGCCCAGTGCTTCGTGGGCCACACTGTTAGGCAGTCTCCCTGCTGTTGCTGAGTCCAAATCCACTTCCCCCCAGTGGTCTTCACAGCAGGCAGGGACCTGTCCCACTGCGGCTTTCGGGGAGCTGGAGGCTCGGGCATCACGTCCCCTTCATTCTCACGGGCAGATCCCTCTGGTTCCCAGGACTCTGGCTTGAATTCTCCACCCTGGAGTTCCCTCTTTAGTGCCTCTGGCCTGTGCATTTGATTCTGGAACATGAGTGCAGAGAAGGGCGCAGGTGCTCACTGGCTAGCTCCGAGACCCAGTAATTTTCTCAGAGTTGACCTGTGCTAAGTGTGCTCACACAAACTGTCAGCTGTTTTGATTATATTTTTTTAAAGTAGCTTTTTGTTATAAAACATATGTAGACTTAGTGTAGGAACTTTAGAAAACATCCTATATAATGAAAGGCTAATTTGCAAATTGACCAAAAGGGGAATGACTGGTCGCTATGACACACACTGACCACCAGGGGGCAGACATTTAACACAGGAGCTGCCCCCTGGTGGTCAGTGCACAGCAGTGGAGGTGGGAGCAGCTTTTCGGCCATCAGTCGGACACACACACACACACACACACACACACACACACCCGCCCCAGGGCTCCCGGGGCTAAAGGACCCCCTCCCCCAGTGCAGGAATCTCGTGCACCAGGCCTCTAGTAGATAAGTAAGGAGAAAAGAAGAAGAAAGGGAAAAACCAGCATTGAACTATATACACATTTTTAGCCTAAATGTAGGGCTTGGCAGTTGGCTCAACAATGTTATCTTTTTTGGTTTGGGCCAAGCTGCCCAGGCAGTTGCACGACTTTGAGTCTATGAAGTGGTTCCCGCCTGAGTGCCTTGCAAAGCATCCTTTCTGTCTCCTTCCAGCTCGCTGTTGAAGTATTTGGGGGCACCCTGAGGACGCCTTCTGGCCTTAGTCTGTCAGGCACCGCCCTCCATGCCCTCATGCCCTCTATGATATGTTTGGCCTCCCAGCCCCAAATCCTCTGACATTCCTACTGTCCAGCTCACGTTCTCCTGCCCATCCCACAATGCCGTGGTGGGAGGCCATGAACCCTCACCCCTGCCCAGCCAGGACTCTGGGAGCGTAAATAACCCCTAGGGCCGGAACCGAGGAAGGTTCTGGACAGAGGGGCAGCCGCTGTCATCCCACCCCAACTGGCCTGGTTCTTCTTACCCCCAGGCCAGCAAACCCCCCCTCCCCCGGGTTCTGTCCCCTCACGCCCTGAGAAACCCTTTGCTGTATAATCAGGATAGCTTGGTTTTTTTTCTCCTGTTTTAGGCAATTTTTTACTTGGTATAAAAATAATTTAATCACAAGACAAGAATTTGGCAACTAGAAAAAAACACAAATAATTCCTGGCTGCTTCACACTAAAACAACACTGTTAACATTTTTAAGTGTTTCTCCCCCTCTCTTCTCTGTGTGTATTATTTACATAGTTCTCATCTTGAGAGGGTGGGACTTTTAGAAGGAACTTTCCAAAGAGACTCGAGGGAAAGTGGAATTAAAATAAGCACTTGAGGTGGAGGGAGCGTGCAGGGCAGCACAGTTCCCCGATCTCGGCAGATACAGCCACCCCGGGGTGTTCTCCGGAGGAGGGGCCTCCCAGCGGAGCCCTTGGGTCCTCCCTCCCCCCGGGGCTGGGAGGCGCTGAGTGGCTGTGCCCGGCGGGGCCACGCTGCCAGCTCGTTACCCTGCTCTGGGTATGGTCCTCTGTCACATCCGGGCTCAGAGAGAACGTGCCTGTAAACCTGGTCCCCGCGGGCTCCTATTGGGCTCCCCAGAGCCTGTGCTGCTGGCCCTCACACCCGCTTTCTGCACCCCGAGGCTGGCCCCTGGCATCGCGCCTCCTGCCTTGGCCAGCACTCTGTCCGTTGCCGTTGGCACAGGATATGTTCTGGCCGCTGCCCTCTTCCTAGAGGCCTGCCAGTCTCTGCCTTCTCAGAGACACTTCTCTCTCGGAGCTCAGACGCTGCAATCCTGGCCAAATTGGACGCTTTTCAGAGCACCAGAGAGGAGCAGTCCTCCTGTACAGGCATGTTCTGCTGACTTAGCGGTTCTCAAAGCGCGCCCCCTGCAGCTGCAGGTCCGCACGGCCTGGGAGCCGGTTAGACGGGCCCAGCGTTGGGTCTGACAGTGGTGCCAGATCTATATAGACTCAGAAGCTCTGCAGGGGGAGCCCCACAGCCTGTGTTGCAACAAGCCCTCCAGGTGGTTCTGACGCACCCCAAACCTGAGGACCACTAACTTAAGGAACGCTGCTATTTTGAAAAACGCTGGCTCCTCTATGAATGTGAGAGAAAGCGCGAGGAAACTGCGGCGGTGACCCGGAACAGGAAGAGTCCTGTTCTGTCTGGGTGTTCTGTCTGGGTGTTCTGTATGGGGTATTCTGTCTGGGTGTTCTGTATGGGGTGTTCTGTATGGGTGTTCTGTATGGGGTGTTCTGTATGGGGTGTTCTGTATGGGTGTTCTGTATGGGTGTTCTGTATGGGGTGTTCTGTATGGGTGTTCTGTCGGGGTGTTCTGTATGGGTGTTCTGTATGGGTGTTCTGTATGGGGTATTCTGTCTGGGTGTTCTGTATGGGGTGTTCTGTCTGGGTGTTCTGTCTGGGTGTTCTGTATGGGTGTTCTGTATGGGGTGTTCTGTATGGGTGTTCTGTCTGGGTGTTCTGTCTGGGTGTTCTGTATGGGTGTTCTGTATGGGGTGTTCTGTATGGGTGTTCTGTATGGGGTGTTCTGTATGGGGTGTTCTGTCTGGGTGTTCTGTCTGAGTGTTCTGTATGGGGTATTCTGTCTGGGTGTTCTGTATGGGGTGTTCTGTCTGGGTGCTCTGTATGGGGTGTTCTGTATGGGTGTTCTGTCTGGGGTGTTCTGTCTGGGTGTTCTGTATGGGGTGTTCTGTCTGGGTGTTCTGTATGGGGTGTTCTGTATGGGTGTTCTGTATGGGGTGTTCTGTATGGGTGTTCTGTATGGGTGTGTTCTGTATGGGTGTTCTGTATGGGTTGTTCTGTATGGGTGTTCTGTATGGGGTGTTCTGTATGGGGAGTTCTGTATGGGTGTTCTGTCTGGGGTGTTCTGTCTGGGGTGTTCTGTCTGGGGTGTTCTGTATGGGGTGTTCTGTATGGGTGTTCTGTCGGGGTGTTCTGTCTGGGTGTTCTGTCTGGGGTGTTCTGTCTGGGGTGTTCTGTATGGGGTGTTCTGTATGGGGTGTTCTGTATGGGTGTTCTGTCTGGGGTGTTCTGTCTGGGTGTTCTGTATGGGGTGTTCTGTCTGGGGTGTTCTGTATGGGGAGTTCTGTATGGGTGTTCTGTCTGGGTGTTCTGTATGGGGTGTTCTGTATGGGTGTTCTGTCTGGGTGTTCTGTATGGGGTGTTCTGTATGGGGTGTTCTGTATGGGTGTTCTGTCTGGGTGTTCTGTCTGGGTGTGTTCTGTCTGGGGTGTTCTGTCTGGGGTGTTCTGTATGGGGAGTTCTGTATGGGTGTTCTGTCTGGGGTGTTCTGTCTGGGGTGTTCTGTCTGGGTGTGTTCTGTCTGGGGTGTTCTGTCTGGGGAGTTCTGTATGGGTGTTCTGTATGGGTGTTCTGTCTGGGTGTTCTGTCTGGGTGTTCTGTCTGGGGGTGTTCTGTCTGGGTGTTCTGTCTGGGGTGTTCTGTCTGGGTGTTCTGTATGGGTGTTCTGTCTGGGGTGTTCTGTCTGGGGTGTTCTGTCTGGGTGTGTTCTGTCTGGGGTGTTCTGTATGGGTGTTCTGTATGGGGTGTTCTGTCTGGGTGTTCTGTCTGGGTGTTCTGTCTGGGGTGTTCTGTATGGGTGTTCTGTATGGGGTGTTCTGTCTGGGTGTTCTGTCTGGGTGTTCTGTCTGGGTGTTCTGTCTGGGGTGTTCTGTCTGGGGTGTTCTGTCTGGGTGTGTTCTGTCTGGGGTGTTCTGTATGGGTGTTCTGTATGGGTGTTCTGTCTGGGTGTTCTGTCTGGGTGTTCTGTCTGGGTGTTCTGTCTGGGGTGTTCTGTCTGGGGTGTTCTGTCTGGGGTGTTCTGTCTGGGGTGTTCTGTATGGGTGTTCTGTCTGGGGTGTTCTGTCGGGGTGTGTCTGGTCTGGGTGGTGTTCTGTCTGGGGTGTTTCTGTATGGGTGTTCTGTATGGGGTGTTCTGTCTGGGGTTTCTTTCTGGGTGTTCTGTCTGGGTGTTACTGTCTGGGGTGTATGTCTGGGTGTGCTGTCTGGGGTGTTCTGTATGGGTGTTCTGTCTGGGTGTTCTGTATGGGTGGTTCTGTCTGGGGGTGTTCTTGTATGGGTGTTCTGTATGGGGTGTTCTGTGTATGGGGGTGTTCTGTATGTGGGTGTCTGTCTGGGTGTTTCTGTATGGGTGTTTGCTGGTGTTCTTCTGGGTGTTCTTATGGAGGGTGTTCTTGTCTGGGGGTGTTCTGTCGGGGTTTTCTGTATGGGGTGTTCTGTCTGGGTGTTCTGTCTGGGGTGTTCTGTCTGGGTGTTCTGTATGGGTGTTCTGTATGGGTGTTCTGTATGGGGTGTTCTGTATGGGTGTTCTGTATGGGTGTTCTGTATGGGTGTTCTGTATGGGGTGTTCTGTATGGGTGTTCTGTATGGGGTGTTCTGTCTGGGGTGTTCTGTCTGGGGTGTTCTGTATGGGGTGTTCTGTATGGGGTGTTCTGTATGGGGTGTTCTGTCTGGGTGTTCTGTCTGGGGTGTTCTGTCTGGGGTGTTCTGTCTGGGGTGTTCTGTATGGGTGTT